CTTAGTGGGTTAAAGCCTCTGCCTTTGGCTCAGGTCATGATCCTGGGGTCCTGAGATCGAGCCCCGCATCGGGCTCTCTGCTCAGCAGGGAGCCTGCTTTCCCCTCTCTCTGTCTCTGCCTGCCTCTCTGCCTGCTTGTGATCTCTGTCTGTCAAATAAATAAATAAAATCTTTAAAAAAAATGATGTAGTGTCCTTCTGTATCTCTGACTACAGTCTTTAGCTTAAAATCTAATTTGTCTGAAATGACAATTGCTACCCCAGCTTTCTTTTGATGTCCAGTGGCATGAAAGATGGTTCTCCATCCCTTCACTTTCAGTCTGGATGTATCTTTAGGTTCAAAATGAATCTCTGTAGACAGCATATGCATGGGTCCTTTCCTTTATCCAATCTGCAACCCTGTGCCATTTTATGGGAGCACTTAGGCCATTCATGTTGAGCGATTATTGAAAGATATGTCTTTATTGTCATGTTGCCTGTGAGGTCCCTGTTTCTATAGATTGTCTCTGTAAATTTCTGTTCTATATTACTCTTGGGGGTCTTTCTTCTCTTATAGAACCCCCCCCCCGCCCTTAATATTTCTTGTAGGGCTGGCTTAGTGGTCACATATTCTTTAACTTTTTGCCAGTCTTGGAAGCTCTTTATCTCTCCATCCATTCTAAATGACAGCCTTGCCAGATAAAGTATTCTTGGCTGCATGTTCTTTTCATTAGTGCTCTGAATATGTCTTGCCAGTCCTTTCTGGCTTATCAGGTTTCTGTGGATGGTCTGACGTTATTCTGATGTTCCTCCTCCTGTATGTAAAGAATCTCTTACCCCTAGCTACCCTTAAGATGTTTTATCTGGTTTTAAGATACGCAAGTTTCACTATCACATGCTGGGGGGGGTGTGTGTATTGGTCTGCCCTCCTTGATCTTGGGGGGTGTTCTCTCTGCCTCTAGGACACAAACACTTGTCTCATTCCCCAGATTAGGAAAATTCTCAGCTAGGATTTTCTCAGCTATATCTTCTAGTCCTCTCTCTCCACCTCCTCAGGGATCCCAATAATTCTGACATTGGAATGTTTCATGGCATCATTTATTTCTCTAATTCTGTTTTCATGGATTCTAAGCTGTTTGTTCCAGGCCTCCTGAGCCTTCTTTTCTATCAGTTTGTCTTATAGATCATTAATTCATTCTTCTGCCTCATTTACCCTAGCTGTTAGAGTATCTAGATTAGATTGGATCTCATTGATATCATTTTTAAGTTCTGCCAGATCAGCTCTCACTTCTGCCCTTAGAGAATCTATGTTTCCATTAATGGTTTTCTCCAGCCTAGCTATTGTCTACATAACTGTTATCCTGAAGTCTATTTCTGACATCTTGCTTATGTCCAAATCCATTAGTTCTGTGGCAGAGGTCACAGTCTGAATTTTTTCCTCTCTCGGGGGTTCCTCCTCCTAGTCATTCTGGTGAGATGTGGTTGAGGGAATGTAAAGAGTCCAGACTATTGACTACAATCGAAACAAGATGCACCTGTTTTATAGGGACCTTAGGGTTATTGGCTTCTTGTTCTTTCAGCTTGTCTTCTGGGGGGAGGGACTTGCTGTGCTGTTACTCAGGCAACCCTGTTTGGGCAGAATTGCCTTGCCCCCTGTGGGAGGGTGGGATGGGCTCAGTGAAAACCGGTTTGGGGGGGGGGCTTTTGTTCTCTGGCGGCTTTCCTTGGTGGGTGTCTACGTCCCTTCCAACAGTCAGAGCAGAAGTGACCATATTCAAACCTCTCAGAACAGAGAGCGTGCAGTCTGTTCTCCAGAAAGCCCTCCAGGTCGCATTGACTCTGTTTTTGTCTTTGCTGCTAAAAACCACAGCATCCTGGGTTGTTCACCCCACAGGAACACTCCCAGCCCTAGAAGAGCCAGATGCTTAACTGCCTGATCCACCAGGGTGCCCCAAACAACTCTTCTGAGATCATGCCCTTGATTTACAAACCAACCAATCCAAATCCCCAAGTGTTTCCTTTATCAAACTCTCAAACTAAGCCAATATTCCTCTTGCCCAAATCACCCCAGGGCCAGGTACCAGACAACCTGGGACCACCTCTATAACTCAGCCTGCCAAAATTATTAAAACTATGCAATCCCAAACTTTCTTAGTGTATTTACCAATGTCACCCATTCATGGGGAAAACTTCAGTAAAGGCTCTGTGCCACACTCTACCCTCTCCCACCTTCTGCCTCCCATGAGAACTGGGTACTTTCCCATGTGGCTCTGCAGGCATGCTATGCCTCCTGTTTTTAGAGATCTTTGCGTATAAACTTTTTCCTTCATGCCAGTCATTACCATGTCTGCATATCCTACCGTATTTGATTAGAACAAATCCTGGGCACGTTTTAACACAAGGATCCCAAAACATTCCATACACTGCATTTAATTGATAGGTCTCTTAAGTCTTTTAATTTGCAACATTGTTTTTATCTTAACATATATTCATTAAAAGACCATTTATTCTGTGAAATTTTGTATATTCTGTGTTTGGTTGTTCCTTCCTTGTGTCATTAATTTATTCCTTTATTCCCCAAGTTTCCTGTAAACTGATAATTAGATTTAGAGACTAATTTATACATCTGGGTCAAATTTGGGGCAAGAGCACTTAACAAATGAAGCTATATTTAGCCATTGCATAATATCAAGATGCACACAGCCTGGATGATATAATTGAAATGTTGATATAGATTAGTGTGTTCTGTCATTCTGCTCCATTAAAAGGTTACTGTCAATCTTTTTCACCTAATGATCTTTGCATCCATCAATATCACCACCAAGATCCATTATTTCATAAAAAGTGATTTTTCAAATTGTCATTCCTTTTAACTTTATTAGCTAGATTTCTCATAATAGCTTTTCTTCAACTTTTGGTTGTCTTAAAATATAGGTAATAAAGGAAAGACAAAATAAATGCTCCACTTTCCCTCTTTATTTATCAATAAGTGCCCTAAAATGCTTCATACCCGACCAGTGCATTTGGTCAGGGAAAAAAGGAAGCTATTAAAGCCTATAGTGGTCATGACAAAAGGACACAGCAATCAATTTGGGGGGAATCCCACTGGCCAAAAATAGGCCAATCTGAGCATAAAAAGGCTACAATATATTTTAAATAATCAACATGGGAGTTATAATACAAGGTATTTTTAATTTCCAAATAATTTTTATATGACTGTTGATTTTAAATTAAATTTAGACTGAGGCCAGGGGCGCCTGGGTGGCTCAGTGGTTAAAGCCTCTGCCTTCGGCTCGGGTCATGATCCCAGGGTCCTGGGATCAAGCCCTGCATCGGGCTCTCTGCTCAGCAGGGAGCCTGCTTCCTCCTCTCTCTCTGCCTGCCTCTCTGCCTACTTGTGATCTCTGTCTGTCAAATAAATAAATAAAATCTTAAAAAAAAATAGACTGAGGCCAAAGAATGTAGATTATAGAATATCAGCTTTTTTTTTTTTTGAGATTTTATTTATTTATGAGAGACAGAGAGGCAGAGGGAGAAGCAGGCTCTCCACAGAGTAGGGAGCCTGATGTGGGACTCGATCACAGGTCCCTGGGATCATGATGGGAGCTGAAGGCAGACACTTAAGTGACTGAGCCACATAGGTATCCCAGAATATCTGTTTGTTTGTTTTTTTAAGAATTATTTGATTTATTTATTTGACAGAGAGAGAGAGAGAGAGAGAGAGAGAAAGAGAGCACAAGCAGGGGGAGTGGCAGGCAGAGGGAGAAGGAGAAAAAGCAGGCTCCCCAAGGAGCCCTATGTGGGGCTTGATCCCAGAAGTCTTGGATCATGATCTGAGCCAAAGGCTGACCCTCAACCGAGTCACCCAAGCACCCCAGAATATCTCCTTTTTAATGGACACATTGAAAAAGAATGTCTATATTAAAGAGTAAGTTATCTGAGGTTCGGTAAGGGTGAATGTTAGTGGAAGGCATTTCTTTCTTTGTTGCACCCATAGTCTTTCAAATGAATTTTCAAGGAGTAATATTAATGATAATAATAAAACAAAATTTAGTGGCTTAACACAACCATTTTATTATATCTCATCATCTTATGGGTCAGGAATTTGGGCAGGGGCTCAGCTGGGAGATTCATCTGCTTTATATGCTATCGACTGAAATCAGTCTGGCATTCAGCTGCTGGCTGGTCTGGAGGATCCAACACTATTTTACTCAAATGTCTGGTGTCTTGGTAGGCATGTATGGAGGACTGGGCTAAGAAGGGTGCTCTTCCTTCCTATGTAGTCTTAGGGCTTCTTCTCCATGTGGTCTCTTCAGCAGAGCAGCCAGACCTTTTAACATAATTCAGGGCCTCAGCTTAAGAGAGCATCCCAAGAGATGAAGTGAAGTCTACCAGTAAAGCCTGGGTCCAGAAACTGGCACAGCAGTACTTCTACTAGTCAAAGCAGTCACAGTCTGCCCAGCCTCAAGGGAAAGGATGTAGATTCCAAGCTCTTGACAGTAAGGGAGAAATGTCAAAGAATTTACAGCAATCTTTATTCTGCCACAGTATTATATTACTATTTTACAAATGAAAAAATTATAGCACAGAGCTGTTAAGCATCTTATCAACATACTACAAGTGGGAAAGTGACGGGACAGAGATGATGTGTCTCCCACATTTGTTACATTGATAGGATTAGTTTTTAGGAAAAATGTGAAGTTTATCAGGTTTAAGTGATGGTGTAATACATTAAATTAACATATCCTTTTAATGATATGAAACCTCTCATGCCAAGTCAGATGCCTGTATGACGGAAGCAAAAAGGATTTACTACATTCAGAGTGTTCTATAAGACAGGATTGAAAAAGTATTTTATATTTTTACATTATGAATTTTCAGATGATGAGTAAGATGTGAATGTTGTCTAAAGGCCTTCTTGCATTCCTTACATTCATAGGGTTTCTCACCAGAATGAATCCTCAGGTGCTGAATAAGGGATGAATTAAGTCTAAAAGCCTTCCTACATTCCTTACATTCAAAAGGTTTTTCACCAGTATGAATACTCTGATGTAGAGTAAGTTTTTGGCGTAATCTAAAGGCCTTCCCACATTCCTTACACTTATAGGGTTTCTCACCAATATGAATACTCTGATGTTGTGTAAGTTGTGAGAGTAATCTAAAAGCCTTCCCGCATTCCTTGCAGTCATACGGTTTAACACCAATATGGATACTTTGGTGCGAAATAAGTTGTGAGTAACGACTAAAGGCCTTCCAGCATTCCTTACACTCATAAGGTTTCTCACCAGTATGAATTCTGTGATGAAGAATAAGATGATAACCACGACTAAAGGTCTTCCCACATTCCTTACATTCATAGGGTTTCTCACCAGTATGAATTCTCTGGTGGAGTGTTAGTTGTTGTCTCACTCTAAAGGCCTTCCCACATTCCTTACATTCATAGGGTTTCTCACCAGTATGAAGCTTGTGATGTACTCTAAGGCCAGAGCCACACAAAAAGGCCTTCCCACATTCTTTACATTCATAGAGTTTGTCAGCAATATTAAGTTTCTGATGTCGAGTAAGGTGTGCATACTGTCTAAAGGCCTTTCCACATTCTGTACATACATAGGGTTTCTCACCAGTATGAATCCTCTGATGGAGAGTAAGTTGTCCACGCACTCTGAAGGCCTTCCCACATTCTTTACATTCATAGGGCTTATCACCAATGTGAATTTTCTGATGTACTCTGAGGTCTGGGCCACATATGAAAGATTCTCCACATTCCTTACATTCATACAGCTTTTCACCAGAATGAAGTCTCTGATGTCGAGTAAGATGTGCAGTTTGTCTAAAGGTCATTCCACATTCCTTGCATTCATAGGGTTTTTCACCAGTATGAATTCTGTGATGGAAAGTAAGTTGTTGGCGTACTCTAAAGGTTTTCCCACATTCTTTACATTCATAGGGTTTCTCCACAAAATGAATTCTCTGTTGTGGAGTTAGAGATGTGTGTTTTTGGTAAGAGGACACTTTTTGAGATACAGTTTTAATTTGACTTAAATATCCCTCCTGTCCTTCAAATTTTCTTTTGGACTCCCAATCACTTTTTAAAATTAGGCCCCTAAGGCCATGGTTTTTTATTCTTTCCATTATCTTCCACTGGGGTGAGTTTATTTCATAAATGTCATTTTCCGAAGAGAATTTCTTGGTCTCATACCTGGTCTCTAAATCTGAAAGAAAGTAAGAGAGCAAACACAGTTTCCTTTTTTTTTTTTTAAAGAAGTAAAATTTCTACAGTGGAAATAAAAAACAACTAAAGTAATACTCAATGAAATTCTAAAAATTAATTATACAATTTGAAAAAAAAAAAAAGCAGGGCGCCTGGGTGGCTCAGTGGTTGAAGCCTCTGCCTTCGGCTCAGGTCATGATCTCAGGGTCCTGGGATTGAGTCCCGCATCGGGCTCTCTGCTCAGTGGGGAGCCTGCCTCCTCCTCCTCTCTCTCTTTGCCTGCCTCTCTGCCTACTTGTGATCTGTCAAATAAATTAAAAAAAAAAAAAATCTTAAAAAAAAAAAGAAAAAAGAAAAAAAAAAAAGAAAAAAGCATAATGTAACACCAGGAAAAATGAAAGTTCATGTTAAGAAAGTGAGACTGGTGATTAGTAAACATTTTAAGGCAGTGGGTCTCAAATTGAGATGTAGAGTAGAATCACAGAGAACTTATTATAAATATTGAGGTTTATTTTTGAAAGATGTATTTATTTGAGAGTGCACATGTGCTTGTGTGCGTGTGCACACACACGCTGGAGCAGGGGGAGAGGGAGAGAGAATCCCAAGCAGACTCCCCTTAAGCAGAGAGCTTGACCTGCGGCTCAATTCCTTGACCCTGAGATCACGACCTTAGCTGAAACCAAGAGCTGGACGCTCAACTGACTGAGCCACCCAGGTGCCCCTAAATACTGCGGTTTAGATACCTCCTAAACCACCTGGATCAGATTCTACAGTCATGGCCAGTCCTGTATTTATTCTTCATGCAATTCTGATGGAGATGAAAGGTTAAAAATTCACACTTAACTTTTTTCAATAATTTCTCTTTATTCTTAAGACTAAAATAAACCTTGCTGTGGTTAAAAGGCCTCTGGTTACCTATAATGCATCTTCTCATTCTGCTCTATCTTCCACAAATCTTCTGCTTGGGTTCTTTGCACTGTTGGCTACTTCTTATCCTGAGGTCTTAGGTTAAATAAAAGTCACTTCCTTTAAGGCTGACTCTACTGTCAGGATCTAAACCTATGTTCTTATATAGGTATTACATATCAGCATATGTCTGCATTGAAATTATATATTTATAAATGTTTCCGATTGTTGCTCTCCTTTCCCTATCCCTAGACCTCTTCAATGGCAAAAACAATCTCTACTTTACTCTTCATTAAAGAATACATGCAGGGGAGCCTGGGTGGCTCAGTTGATTATAAGCATCTGCCTTTGGACTAGGTCATGGTCTCAGGGTCCTAGGATCAAGCTCTACATCGGGCTCCCTGCTCAGTGAGGAGTCTGCTTCTCCTTCTCCCTCTGCCCCTCCCACTGGTTGTGCTCTCTCTCTCTCTCTCTCTCTCAGATAAATAAATAAAATCTTTTTTAAAAAAATAAGTAATACATGCCTAGCACAAAATGAGTGCCTCCATCAGAAAGGATGAATACCCAACTTTTGTAGCAACATGGACGGGACTAGAAGAGATTATGCTGAGTGAAATAAGTCAAGCAGAGAGAGTCAATTATCATATGGTTTCACTTATTTGTGGAGCATAACAAATAGCATGGAGGACAAGGGGAGTTAGAGAGGAGAAGGGAGTTGGGGGAAATTGGAAGGGGAGGTGAACCATGAGAGACTATGGACTCTGAAAAACAATCTGAGGGGTTTGAAGCGGCGGGGGGTGGGAGGTCGGGGGAACCAGGTGGTGGGTATTAGGGTACGGATTGCATGGAGCACTGGGTGTGGTGCAAAAACAATGAATACTGTTATGCTGAAAATAAATAAATAAATACATATATTTTAAAAAATAAAAAAATAAGTAATACATGCCTAGCACAAAATGAGTTTCACTCATTAAGTTCCCATTGTTATATACTTATTCTGAATATATTTCTGTCTCTAATCTCTCACATATTACAACAATGATTAAATAATTCCGGTTATTCATCCAAGCTCGTCGAGCTAAATATATAAATGGAAAATGGTGGTTATATACTCTTATTCTCATACATCCTTTCATTGCTTTAACCCCTTCTCTATGTTCATATACCTATGAGCTACTTTTTCTTTTGTCTCCACATCACTCCACAATGTGGAGTTCTATTCATTAATCTCTCTTTAAGAGAATTCTATTACTCATCCATTTATAATGCTCAACTAGTTTTGTTCCCTCATCTCCTTGCTCAGATCTCCTTTCCATTCCTTTAGAGGCAAGGCCAGTTCTGTATTTCCTGGAAATGTGTGCCAGTAATTTTCCATACAGGAAAACATGTTTATACTTTATTGAAGTCATTATGAAATCCTTAGCAGAAAAGAAAAGAAAAAGATGCAATACGTAAGGAACTCACTAACAGGAACTAAGGCCTTGCAGTCACTTGTGTGTTAAGAATTTGCTAACAAAGGTCATGATGGATTTAGCGAGAAGATGATAAACCAGTAGGAGAAACAGCCAGAGAAACATTTAAGTGCTCAATGAGTTATGTATGAGAGAGAAAAAGGAGGATTTTTCAATTATTATAATATGGTGTGTATAAAAAGCTTGAAATAATATAGACATTTTCTACTAAAGCTGGAAATAATGAAATTTTAAAAACCCAAAAATGGCTGTGTGGGGGACATTGGGATATATGTGACATATGTGATATGGTGAGTACCGTGAATTGTGTAAGACTGATGATTCACAGACCTGTACCCCTGAAACAAATAATACATTGTTAATTAAAAAAAAATGAATCCACTTGAAATTTTAGAAGTCTACATTAATTTTTAAATTTATTTTTAAATGTTCCTTTTTATTTTTTTAAGATTTTTGTTTATTTATTTGAGAGAGAGAGAATGAGAGGGAGAAAGCACGAGTGAGGGGGAGGGTCAGAAGGAGAAGACGACTCCCTGCAGAGCAGTGAGCACAATGTGGGACTCGATCCCAGGACTCCAGGATCATGACCAGAGCCGAGGGCAGTAAATTAACCAACTAAGCCACCCAGGTGCCCCAATAACTTTTAGATCAATCAGGAAATAGATTCCAAAACAGTATTTGTGCTTTTTAGATAACAGTGGCAATAATAATTTTAAAATCCATGTTAAATTAGTATCTACAAAATATAAGCATAGTGCTTAAAATTTAAAAACAAATATTTACAGAAAAAACATGAGAGAAAAATCAATTAATAATCAAAGAAATCAGAAAAAGAATAAAGTAAACTGAAGCAAAGAAGAAGAAATTAATCAGGGGCACCTGGGTGGCTCAGTTGGTAAATGTCTGCCTTTAGGTCTGGTCGTGATCCCAGGGTCCTAGGATCGAGCCCCGCATGGGGCTCCCTGCTCAGCAGGAAACCTGCCTTCTCCTCCCACTCCCCCTGCTTGTGTTCCCTCTCTCACTGTGCCTCTCTCTGTCAAATAAATAAAATCTTTAAAAAAAGAAGAAATTAATAGATATAAATGCAGAATTAGAAAACAGAAAAAAAGAACTAATACATAAAATAAAAACTTTCTTTTAAAAAAGCAGCAAAACAAAGCGTTAGTTAATATAAGGAAAATAGCAAGAAAGCACACAAATAAGAAATGGCAAAGAGAAAATAACCATAAATACAGAGGATAGCTGAAAAAAAGATTACTTTGCCAAAAAATTTTAAAACATAGCTAAAATAATAATTTTCTTGGAAAATATAATTTACCAAAACTGGCCACAGAAGAGATATAATGTTTAAACTTTAATTTTCATAGAGCAAATAGAAAATGTGGTCAGACTTACCATCTCCTTCTCCTAGGAAACAAGCTTTAAGGACCAGCCCATCCAAATTCTACTTAGACTGAGAACTAAGAAAAAGGAGGACTTCCAAACTATTTTCATAAAGTAATATTGTACTGAATAAAGATCATTCTTTAAAGATCAAAAAGAAAACTAGGGGCGCCTGGGTGGCTCAGTGGGTTAAAGCCTCTGCCTTTGGCTCGGGTCAAGATCCTAGGGTTCTGGGATCGAGACCGCACTGGGCTCTCTGCTCAGCAGGGAGCCTGCTTCCTCCTCTCTTTCTCTGCCTACTTGTGATCTCTGTCTGTCAAATAAATAAAATAAAATCTTAAAAAAAAAAAAAAGAAAACTACATACAAATTTTCTGAAAACTGATTTAAAAAAAAAATTCTAAATATCTAATAAAATAGCACATTGAAAAACCCAGTATTATTTATTCAAAGAATTTCAGAGTGATCCAATATGGGGAAATCTAGTAAATTAAACATTTTTTTAAAGATTTATTTATTTTTTAAAAGGTTTTATTTATTTATTTATTTATTTATTTATTTATTTGCAAGAGAACAAGAGAGAGCACAAGCTGGAGAGGAGCAGCAAAGGGAAAGGGAAAAGCAGACTCCCCGCTAAGCAGGGAGCCAGATGCGGGGCTTGATCCCAGGACCCCAAGACCACGACCCAAGCTGAAAGCAGACGCTTAATGGAGTAAGCCACCCAGGTGCCCCTATTTAGTTATTTTAGAGACACCACCCCCACCCTCCCACCCCCGGCCCCACTGAACAGGGAGTGCAATACAATGCCAGGCTTGATCTCGAGACCCTGAAACCGACCTGAGCCTTCTTTTTACTCCTCAAACATGCAAAGCTAACTTCCTCCTTAGGTCTTTTCTGTTGGTTCAGAAGGCTCTTGCCCTAGAGAATCAGATGGCTTGAACCTCCATATCTGCCCTCAAAAAACCTTTCCCTCATTTGTCTATTTTTCTGTATGCATGTTATACTTCACTGAAAGTTACTCAAAGGAAGAAAGAACCAAAGGAAGGAAAGAAAATAAATAATTTTGTTTAAGATGTCTAACTTTGAGTCAACAGTTGTCATTTGGCTAAATACTTCCTAATTAAACTGATATTATCTTATTCATTTGGAACCTCTGCATTTCATTGTTTTTTTCAGTATTAACAGTGGTAAATGCCATTTAATTACCTAAATGTGAAAAAGAAAATAAGTTAGGATTGGAACAAAAAGTGTGTTTCTCCTTCCTGTGGTAGAAAGTGAGTCAGAAGATATAACATTACAGACAGTGTGGGCACTGAAATGGCCTGCAACAAAACAAGAACTCTTAACCTAAAATGAGTCTCCTCAGCCAGACCTGAATGTATAGAGAGCAAAATACAAAACATACGTCTCTCTATAGAGAATTTTGAGGAATTTTTTTTTTTTTTTAAGAAGGCTTATGCCTAGGGTGGAGCCCAATATGGGGCTTGAACTCATGACCCTGAGATTAAGACCTGAACTGAGATCAAGAGTCAGACACTTAACCGACTGAGCCACCCAGGCGCCTCTAGGATCTTTTCTTAAGAAGACTTTCTTTCTTTCTTTTTTTTTTTTTTTTTAAAGATTTTATTTATTTGTCAGAGAGAGAGGGACAGAGAGGGAGAGAGAGCGAGCACAGGCAGACAGAATGGCAGGCAGAGGCAGAGGGAGAAGCAGGCTCCCCGCCGAGCAAGGAGCCCGATGTGGCACTCGATCCCAGGATGCTGGGATCATGACCTGAGCTGAAGTCAGCTGCTTCACCAACTGAGCCACCCAGGCATCCCTTAAGAAGACTTTCAAAGAGATGAAAACAACACAGAGGTAGCAGCTAAACCAAAGGATCATTCTCTCCATACTTTATTACACTCATGTTTCTTCCTAATATGAAGGTAGATATATATACATACACATGGAAAAAAGCAAAGAATGATATTCTGTGATCTAAGGATCTGTCTTCTAGAGTAATTCATATGAAACTCTGATTGCTGATAAAACATATATAAATTACAATGTCAAGCATATTTTTCACTATAGTCTTTTCTTTCCCCAAAAAAAGTTTTTCAGACCATACCTAAAATAGCCTTTCAGCCCACACCGTTTTCTCTTCCCTTACTCTGCTTACTTTACTTCATAGTACTCTATTACCTGAAATTACGGTTTCTATTTATTTACAGTTACAATGTGTCTTTTATTACAAGGTAAATTCCACGGAGAAAGAGACTTTATTGGTTTTATTTACCGGTATATTGATAGTGCCTAGCACACTGCCCAGCTCAGAGGTAGGTAATAAGTCAGTCAGTCAGTCTGTCTATTTATCTGCTATTAAAAATGCAAAAGAAGGAGCGCCTGGGTGGCTCAGTGGGTTAAAGCATCTGACTTCAGCTCAGGTCATGATCCCAGGGTCCTGGGATTGAGCGCCACATCGGGCTCTCTGCTCAGCAAGGAGCCTGCTTCCCCCCCTCTCTCTGCCTGCCTCTCTGCCTACTTGTGATCTCTCTCTGTCAAATAAATAAATAAAATCTTTTTTTTTTTAAGATTTTATTTATTTTTATTTTATTTATTTTATTTATTATAAAATCTTTTTTTTTCTTTTTTTTTAAAGATTTTATTTATTTATTTGACAGACAGAGATCACAAGTAGGCAGAGAGGCAGGCAGAGAGAAAGAGAGAAGTTGAAGCAGGCTCCCCGAGGAGCAGACAGCCCGATGCGGGGCTTGATCCCAGGACCCTGGGATCATGACCTGGGCTGAAGGCAGAGGCTTTAACCCACTGAGCCACCGAGGCGCCCCTAAATAAAATCTTTTTTAAAAGTGCAAGGAAAGCAGCTGAATCAAAATATATATAGAATGATTGTCAATAGGAAACAAAGAGAGCACCTCTCCACCCATGCCCCTTTCAAAGGGGAGGAAGATTTGAAACAACAACAAGAGTGGTAAATGAGAGAAAGAAATAGTTCTATTAGTATCCCTAAGATCTTAATTTGCTCTTCAAGCCTTGGAACTTTATTTTTAAAATTTTTTTAAAAAGTTTATTTTTAAGGATGCCTGCATGGCTCAGTCAGTTAAGTGTCTGCCTTTGGCTCAGGTCATGATCCTAGAGTCCTGGGATCGATCCCCACTTCCCTGGGGTCCCTGCTCAGTGGGGAGTCTATTTTTCCTCTGCCCCTCACGCTGCCTGTGTTGTTTCTTGCTCTCTCAAATAAATAAAATCTTAAAAAAAAAAAAAAAAGAAAACGATTTTATTTTTAAATAATCTCTATATCCAGTGTGGGGCTTGAACTTACAAACCCAAGATCAAGGTTTGCACACATCAGGTGAGCCAGCCAGGTGCCTCAGGCCTTGGACCTTGAAAGAGGACTTTTTAAACAACATCAGTAGAGTGTGCCTCTTCCTAACTAGTTGGGTGGTTTCTTCTGTGATGGCTTCCCCCTACTCAACTGGCTCTCACTCACCTGGATATCGCCTCCTTCCTTTCCTCACAACTTTCCAGGGCTCCTTTCCTTGCTCCAATAAGGAAATCACATCTGGCTTAGAAATGAAGCATCCTGGTTAGAAGAAAAGAGATGTAAGGTGATATGAAAATAAAAAATCATTCAAAATTACATTAGTCTTGTTTAAGTTTTTAAGTGACTATAGGTCAAATGGTAATTGATAAAGCCTTTAGAACAAAGAATGGCAAGATGGTTAAAAAATATTCACATTAAGGTTACATAATAAATAGATTAATTTATATTCATACAAGTAATCCTTCTTGAGAGGCAACAGTGGTTGAGAGCACAGTCTGCCTGAGTTCAGATCCTGTCTCTGCCACATCCCAATTGTAAGACAAGTAATAGCACCTATCATACACAATTGTTGTGACAGTTATATTAGTATATATCCATATCTAAACATTGCCTAGAATATGTACTCAGTGCTAAATATACATTTGACCCTTGAACTCTGCAAGATTGAACTGCCTGGATCCACATAAATGTGGATTTTTTTTGATACAGTATAATACTGTAGAGGTATCTTCTTTATGATTTTCTTTTTTTTTTTTTAAAGATTTTATTTATTTATTTGACACGGAGAGGGAGAGAGAGATCACAAGTAAGCAGAGAGGCAGGCAGAGGGGGGCGGGGAAGCAGGCTGCCTGCTGAGCAGAGAGCCTGATGTGGGGCTCGATCCCAGGACCCTGAGATCATGACCTGAGCTGAAGGCAGACGCTTTAACCCACTGAGCCACCCAGGCACCCTCTTTATGATTTTCTTAATATTTTCTCTTCTCTAGCTTATTTTATCATAAGAATACAGTAGAATACATGTAACAAAATATGTGTTAACTATTTATGTTATCAGTAAAACTTCTGATCAACTGTAAGCTATTAGTAGTTAAATTTTTGGGGAGTCAAAAGTTACATGCTGGAGCGCCTGGGTGGCTCAGATGGTTAAGTGTCTGCCTTTGGCTCAGGTCATGATCTCAAGGTCTTGCGACTGAGCCTAGCGTCCGGCTCCCTGCTCAGCGGAGTCTGCTTCTCCCTCTCCCTCTGCCTCTCCCCCTGCTTGTGCTCTCTCTCTCTTTCCCTCTCTCAAATGAATAAATAAAATCTTAAAAAAAACAAACAAACTCACATTTAACTTTTTGAATTTGTAGAGGGTTGTTGTCCCTAACCCCTATGTTGTTCAAGGGTTGGATATATTTTATTAGCTATTATTTATTACCATTGTTGTTTTGCTGGGAGGAAAACAAAAAGCTTCTGGAGGCATTGATTCTTATTTCTTAGGATATTCACACAATGTTAAGTGCAAAGTTCTTAGATTTTGAACTTTCATAAAGTAGGTAAAAGTGAGGAAGTTTATTAACAAAAGAAATGAGTTTTCTTGAATTGTAAATAAATCTTGTTGGTCCAACATATCACTGCAAATATTATGTGTTCTTTTGATAGATTAAAAACCGAGATACAGGGGTGCCTGGGTGGCTCAGAAGGTTGTGCCTCTGCCTTCAGCTCATGTCATGGTCTCAGGGTCCTGGGATCAAGCCCTACATGGGGCTCTCTGCTCAGCAGGGAGCCTGCTTCCCTTCCTCTCTCTCTGCCTGCCTCTCTGCCTACTTGTGATCTCTCTGTATCAAATAAATAAAATCTTAAAAACAAACAAACAAACAATGAGATACAGGGTCTCGTATTTTCCTTATATATATATACACCAACAAATAAAATACCCATAACAATTCTGAGTTCACACACCAAGTAAAACCTGATTTGACACAAGTAAGGCCATATTCAGCCCCTTTTCATCATTGAGGAAGGCCTGAAGGCCACTTAAGGATGAGGAAGATGAATTTGCTTAAATGAGGTATTCACTTAAAGAAAGCTCAAAACATTCACTGAGAACAGGGAGCATTAATTCAGATAGCTTCTTGAAAGATATTCCTGAAATTTCCAAAGAGAAAAGCAGATACTACAACGAACAGGTCTAAATTCCTAGAGGCAGAGAACCTTACCCAATGAGACCAAGTTGCTGTAATTCTCCAACATAACATCTCTGTACAAGTCCCTTTGTGCCAAGTCCAGGTATTCCCACTCCTCCTGAGAGAAGACTATGGACACATCATTGAACATCACTGATCCCTGCAATGACAAACCATATAATACATTTGAAATTAAAGAAAATTTGTTTTTAAGATGAAGAGATATTGCAGGAAATGGACCATATGGCAAACAAAAAGGCTTAGGCTAGAAGCCTTTAACGTAGTGAGTTAGGAAATGAGTGTGCATGAAGCAGCATGCCTATGTGCTCTTGAAGAATCCTGTTGCTACAGGTGCAGCCTCTTGAGTACTCTGGCGTATCTTGATCATCCAAACATGTCTGGGAAAGAAAAAAATCAGTTTTCCAATTAAATAAAATATTGTAGATAAGCCTCTGCCTGTTACATGTCTCCCTCATAAACTCTCAAAAATATGAGTTCTTCCACTCTTTCCCCTTAAAGAACAGATTTTTTGGGTAAGTTTCCTTACAATATTTCTTAGAAAGGAATCTGAATACAGTTAAAGAATTTCTTCCAAGTTCATCATTGAATCAGATCATGTTGTAAGCATTTTCCCATTTATACAGATTCTTTAATGAAATTTAAAGAAACTGTATAATAGTCTATGTGAGGGATATGGGAGACTTAATCATTCTTCCATTTTGGTCTATACAAAATATTTAAGGTACTCCTCAGTTCTGAAGGTCCACAACTACTTATGTAACTGCTCACTCTTCCTACTTGTTATTATTTTCCATCCCTCACTTTATGCATTCCTTGTTCCTGACTTAGAGACAGGGACATAGATTCTGGATACTGGTGATCCAGAATCACAAAGTTATCATTCTAGACCAGCATATCCTGTTCAACTACAAATGGAACCTTGTTCCTAGTGTGTAACTCTTAGGGATTCCCAGAGAAGATCCTTGGTCTCTCTGCATGCAAAACCCAACAACATCTCTGCCCAGTCCTGAAAGTCTCCAGAACATGAGATTTGACCATACATTGAGGTTGAGGCCAACCAACAGCAAATCTTATCTTACATGCTTGGAAAACTTAAATCCAGAGACCTCCAGTTTCCCTATGAGTAGTCAAATAGACTCATCCTCTTTCATTAACTCACCAGAGATGGTCAAACATTTCCCTCGGGTGATTTCATTTCTGCTCCACTATAGCTCTTAGCAGAAGACTGAGCACATATAGGAGATGCTGAATGATTTTTTTTTTTTTTTTCAAAGAATACATGAATAATGACTGGGGAAAAGGGGACTCATAAGATAGTTGTGCTAAGTAGCCTCATCCCTCACTGGACTTAGAGGACTGGGAGAAGATTCCTAGACTCTGATAGGTAGGAAATTTCAGGATAAAAAAATGTTCATAGGACATTAACATGAAGTATTTTCAGAAGGAGAAAGAAACAGTAACTTACATGGGCCATGGTTTAGAAATTCAAGCTCTGGTCAGTCCTCCTTGGGGTTTACTTATCTGGAGAAGCAGAGTTCACAGAGGCCAGAGCTAGGGGGAGGAAAAGGAGGCGGTGAGATCAGATAGGCCTCAGAACTCCCAAAATGGCTGGAGTCCATATGTTCTTTCCCCTCCCTTGACCTTCCCAACATGTGTGTGCGCGTGCGCACACGCGCGCGCGCGCGCACACACACACACACACACACACACACACACACACACATTTGAGGAAGTCTGGACAAATCACATTCCCTCCTCAGAAATTCCAGGGCTAGGGGAGCCTGGCTGGCTCAGTCAGTATAGTGTGAGAATCTTGATCTCTGGGTTTTAAGTTTGATCCCGACATTGAGTGCACAGATTAAAAAAAAATAATAATAAAGTCTTAGGGAAAAAAAAAAAAGAAATTCCAGGGCTGACAGCCTCATAGGCCTGCTTGGATTCATCAGATACAAAGAGACAAATTGATTAGAACCAACCCTGGCAGTCATTAACCACTGTCAAACTGCTGCACTGGCTGCCTTGCTGGACTGCCAGCCTGCAGCCAGGATAATAACTTCCAGAATCTTCTGGGCTCATCACAGTTTTCAGTCAGAACCAACCACACTGCTTTCCTGTATGCCTTATTTGCCATTCTCTTTCTTACAACCTAGGCTGAAAATGTATGGGTACATGCTCTCAACAGGTAGACAACACGTATCTATTTATCAAAGACTTTCATAGGATGGATATTTTATACACATTAAGTGGATCCTCAGGATTGCTCTGTAGTATAATAGTATAATAATTACCTATGTGAAGGACCAGAACATTTACATTCAAGAAGTAAAACCACTTGCAGAAATTCAGTTAAGTAGCAAAGGTAAATTTGGAATCCTTATTTTTCTAACCAAAGTCAGCTCTCAATCAACTCTCTTGTCTTTGAAACCTAGAATCTCTTGTTCCATGAGCATGCATGACTCATTAAAAAAGCAGAAATAGGGCGCCTGGGTGGCTCAGTGGGTTAAAGCCTCTGCCTTTGGCTCAGGTCATGATCTCAGGGTCCTGGGATCGAGTCCCGCATCGGGCACTCTGCTCAGCAGGGAACCTGCTTCCTCCTCTCTCTCTGCCTGCCTCTCTGCCTACTTGTGATCTTTCTCTGTCAAATAAATAAATAAAATCTTAAAAAATTAAAAAAAAAAGCAGATAACACATGAAACCCCCAAAGACAATTTTTTAAAAGATTTTATGTATTTGTCAGAGAGAGAAAGAGAGAGAGAGCACAAGCGGGGGAGGGGGGGGGCAGCAGGCAGAGGGAAAAGCAGGCTTCTGGCAGAGCAAGGAGCCCGATGAGGGACTCGATCCCAGGACTCCAGGATGATGATCTGGGCCAAAGGCAGACACTTAACTGACTGAGACACCCAGGTGTCCCCCCGCAAAGACATTAAATCTCACTTTAAGAGTACTGATGCCCAGGGGCGCCTGGGTGGCTCAGTGGATTAAACTTCTGCCATCGGCTCGGGTCATGATCTCAGGGTCCTGGGATCGAGTTCCGCATCGGACTTTCTGCTCGGCAGGGAGCCTGCTCCCCCGGCCCCCACCCGCCTGCCTCTGCCTACTTGTGATCTCTGTCTCTCAAAAAAAAAAAAAAAAAAAAAAAAAATCTTAAAAAAAGAGTACTGATGCCCATATTAGCAAGTTTGTAAGGAAATGAATATTCTAACCTGTAGATTGTGTAAATTTAAAAGTATGTCCAAACTTTTGTATGGACAAAGTATTTTGTTGGACATTTAAAAGTATGTCCAAACCAAGCATTTAAACCATGCACATCTTCTGACTCAGTAATTCTACTGTGGGGATTAATTCTACTCTGTATATGTGCACAAGATATAAGAGTGTGCTGACAGACATTAATCATAATGGATAAAAGCTGGAAAGAACCTAAATATCCTACAGTAGGAAACAGATTAAATAAATTATAAAGCACCCACAGAGTGAAAAAGCTTGTCACTTAAAAAATGATAATACAGGGGCGCCTGGGTGGCTCAGTGGGTTAAAACCTCTGCCTTCGGCTCAGGTCATGATCCCAGGGTCCTGGGATTGAGCCCCGCATCGGGCTCTCTGCTCAGCAGGGAGCCTGCATCTCTCTCTCCACCTGCTTCTCAACCTACTTGTGATCTCTGTCTGTCAAATAAATAAATAAAGTCTTTAAAAAAATATGTTTAAAAAAAATGATAATACAGGTCTTTAATTGGAAAGATGGAAATATGTCTATCACATATTGCTGAGTGAAAAATGTAAGTAGTAACAGTTGTGAGTACTGTGATCCTGTTATAGTAGGGCGAAAAGACCTGTGTGTGTGAGTGTGTACACACACACACACATATATATATATATATATGCATATCTATATATTTGTGCATAATAACCACTAAACGCTAAGCTTTTAAAAATATGTAAGGACATACAAAATATTCAAGATGTGTAGTCTTCAGAAAAATAAAATGAACATTATGAATACATTTGTAAAGTATACATATAAATCAACATAAAGAGGCACTAAGAGGCATCAACAGAAAAAAATCTGCAAAGATTGTACATTTCCCCACTGTAATCTTAATTTTCTTCTTTTTGCTTGTATTTACTTCATATTTTTATATGGCAATATATACTCTTGAAATACATTTTTAAAATTTTGTAAGTAGGAAGCTTTTCTTAAAATAGGTGAAAGAGACTCACTTTTAAAGCTGTCATCTCTTGAAGGAAAAAAACTGCTATATTTTTTCCTCCTAGCTCCCAATATCTGATTCAACTTTATAATTTGTAAATTTGTTCATTTATGTTGGAGTTTTGCCTAGAAAAGAATGGTTAAACATCCCCAACTAATGCCTTGTTTCACTGCTGTTTTCTCACTTAACTTCTTGGCTGATACATTTGTCTTGATTCTGACCAGTCATTTTAGCCCTCCATGATGCCCTCCAAAGAGCGCTGAATCTTCTTGTCCTGTTGGTCTCATTTTGCATCAACATCATGAGAATAGAAACCATATGGCATAACACTTATTACATAAAATCCTTTTACCTACACAGAAATCCTCTGGATTTGGTTATTTTTTTGGCACAACCTGACAATGTTTGCTGTAATCAGATGATGTCTCTTCATAGGAACTCCTAAGCTATGCTATCTGACTTCTTCAGGGTCGACACTTAGTCTCATTCCTCTAAAGGTTTAGCTACCTTAATTGATAATTAGCAACTTAAGAATCACAACCATGTCATTTTAGTCAGTCTATATTCCCCAAGTATTAGCATAGGATCAGACATATTATGAGTACTTTATAAAATGTCTGATAATTCAACCTAGAAATTCCATTTTTAGGAATTTATCCTTAGAAAAATTTTAGAAAAGTACAAAAAGAGATACATGCAAGGAAGTTCATCAAAGAATATTTTATAACCAAAAGCAAAGTACCTAACAATAAACCAGCTAAAAAAACTAGGTTCCACAATATGATAGCATATTACACAATTATTGACAATGATGGTACTAGTTCATACTAATGCATGTAGGAAAACATCCATGATAAATTGCCAAGTACAGGTAGACTAAGAAGAAAATCCACAATGTTGGGAGGTGACTGACTCTCATATGTGAAGAACGCAGGCTTTGTTGTCAGGATCCAGGATATCTAAGGGTTTGACAGTTACCAACTAGGAGACTTCAGACCTGTTAGTTTTCAGTGCCACTGTTTCCTCATAGATAAACTGGAGAATAACAGTATCTACTTGTTATTAAAGTTAAGTAATATAATGCATATAAAGCACTTAAAAGACATTATAAGCAATAAAATAAAATGAGAACATTATATCCCCCATATTCCTTGTATTTAAAAAAGTATCTTCAATTTTAAAAAAATTTAATTCTTTGATAAATTATCTTTAATAATTTTTTAATACTAGGATGCCCCTTCTCTTGCTCTTACAGTAAACTTTTTCTTATTAAAGATTTTATTTATTGGACAGAGAGAGAGAGAACAAAAGAGGGAATACAAGCGGGGGGAGTGGGATAAAGAGAAGCAGGCCTCCTGCTGACATGGGGCCTGATCCCAGCACACTGGGATCATGACCTGAGCTAAAGGCAGATGCCTAATGACTGAGCCACCCAGGCACCCCAACAGTAAACTTTTTTAGAAAAATATTTTATTTACTTATTTATTTTAGAAACAGGGAGGGTGAGAGCAGGGGGAGGAGCAAAGGGGGAGGGAGGGAGGGAGTAGAGTAAAGAATCTCAAGCAGACTCTGTGCTGAGCCCCAATGTGGGGCTCAATCTCACCACACTGAGATCATGACCAGAGCCAAAACCAAGAACCAGAGCTTAACCAACTGAGCCACCCAGGCACCCCTCCTATAGTTAACTTTTTTGAGATTTTAAGGACTGCTCTTTCTTGCAACATCACTAAATTTTAGAACTAAGGTTGAGAATGTAATTCTTCTTAATAATATTAGCAAAAAAGATTCATAAAAAATCAAGAAGTAGAGCAAAGCCCCTTTTGCTTTCCATCCCTAGCAGCTCCAAAGAGATACCATTTGGAATCATAAAACTCATTAAATTTGATTTGATAAGGTATCATTTTGAACACTTTAAAAACATTTGATCAAGTTTTTCTGTATAACATGTCTGAATATTTATTGTTACTACCACTTTCTCCCCCCTGTTATTATAAATCTCTACTTAGGAGCAACTTTACATCACTTTTTAAAAAAAAAGGTCTCTGATTCTGAAAAGATACCTAGTAAATATTTTCATAATCCTAAAAGGTGTAAAGTCTTCAAAGGTTTTTCAAAATAGAGGGCAACCTTGTACTCCCCTTTACTCTGTACAGACAGCAATATAATAAATCTTCTAACTGTACTGGATTTCTTTTCAAAGTGTTAGAGAGTATCTCCTTAAATAATCATTTTTTGTGATTCTGTCTTACAGAACAAATGTACACAAGTGCACAGAAAAAAATATTTGGAAAAACAAACATCAGAATAGTTCTTCTCCAAAACAATGACCTGCCTTCACTTTCTTCTCTAACTGAACACAATCAAGGTAAAGAGCATTCCTAAACTTAGTAAGAGTATACCATAGCAGATAGAGCAGTACAGGCTTTATCTCTGCATAACTTTATC